GCTGGGCTTGTTCAGCCTGGGGAAAAGAAGGCTGCGGGGTGACCTCATTGCAGCCTAAAGGGAGCCTACAAACAAAAGGGGAATCGACTCTTTGAAAGGGTTGATAACTGCAGGGAAAGGGGAAATGGTTTGAAGTTGAGGGAGGGAAGATTGAGGTTGGATGTCAGGGGAAAGTTCTCTACAGAGTGAGGGGTGAGGTGCTGGAACAGCTGCCCAGAGAGGCTGTGGATGCCCCGTCCATCCCTGGAGGTGTTCAAGGCCAGGTTGGATGGGGCCCTGGGCAGCCTGGGCTGGTATTAAATGGGGAGGTTGGTGGCCCTGCATGTAGCAGGGGGTTGGAGATGCATGATCCTTGAGGTCCCTTCCAACCTGGCCATTCTGTGATTCTGCGATTGTTAAACCTAGAAAATTATTCCTACAGTCTGCATGCATCCTACTTAGCGACCAAAAATGTTTATGAGTTATCAAAGAAACTTCTTTAAGAGAATTGATTTTTAACTTACATCTTTGTTTCTAATTTCAGCATTCTTTTTCCGTCTATGCACTCCTATGGGAAATACATCAAGAGGCTCGAGTTTTCACCTCCACTTTCTTCAGGTGGAATGAAGCGCTGTGGGTACAAATCACAGACAGAAAACAGACAGGTGAGAAAACCTCAGGTTGGAATGTCGCACCGCTATCGGCGTGCCTGAAATCGGCATGCCGCGGGCTGGAACAGCGGCGCCACCTGGTGGTCGGCGGGAGCGACTGCAGGTTCGCAGCCGCTGGGCCGCGATCGGCTGAGAGCAAATCGCGGAGTAACCGATCCAAATATTTTCCCGGCCTTTGCTCTGTGCCACGAAGCACAACGCCGGCAGCCCGGAAACAGAACAGCAAGGTTACGTTCCAAGCAGCTCCGATCCACCTGGCGCTTTCCCGGCTCCTTCCCCCCATTAACCCGAGTTTAAAATAAAGAAATAAATAAAAAATAAAGGAGGAGGGAACGGCCCTTCCCACGACTTCGGCACGCCCCTACGCAGCTGCAGAGCTCCGGGCCAGCAACCCGCCTCCCGCGGCCCTTCTCCCCGCCCACCCACCGCAGCCCGTTGCGGACGGGGTCGCCGCGGGCTCCGCTCCTTGCCGCCGGTAGGTGCGAGCGGCCGCCCCGCCAGCCACATCGACGGGGGGGGTGCCGGCCTGACGGGGCAGGGCATGGTAGGGTAGGGTTGAGCTGGGCTCCGAGCGGGTCTTGGCCGAGCGTGGGATCGGGGAGCGCCGATACGGGCGAACGGAACGGGCGCGCTGTGCTGCCGGCAGCGGAACGGCGCTCCGCGGTGACGTTAGAAGCGGCGCTTTCCGAAAGCGCGGCCGCCCGAGGCGTGCTTCCGAGGCGTTGTTTCGATAGCCGAAAGCGGCAGCTCGGCGCTGCTCTTGCTAGAAGGGCACGCTGCCGGCTGTCGCTCAGAATCCATGCCTGGTTGTCCGGACGGGCGGTGGAAGTCCTGGACATTCAGAGTCAGGCTGGGAGCAGACGGTCCTGCCGTATGTATCTATCCCTGTCCGCTGCCTCTAAGGGTCCCCTCCAACTCAGACGATTGCAGTCCTGTTGTTTGCGATCGTAGCAGCAGGACGGAGGCTGTGGCCCAGCCAGTGCACGTGAAGAAGAAAATTCCTTCATTCCAAAAAGAAAAGATCCAATACTGACCCTGATACAAATTGATGTGATAGAGCCCAGCTGTGGGTGGGACCGTTTGGAGGTGTTACTCGTGCCACGTGCTCATACCAGAAGCAGGAGGGTTCCCATGCATTTTTCCCCCTTATGCTCAATTATTTGCTTTCCCCACAGACATGAATTATTCTCGGTTTCTCACAAGTGTGAGTGCGGCAAGAAAAGCCTCTCCAATAAGAGTTCTGAGTGAGTATGCGCCCGTTCTTGTCAGGTTCTCTTAAGAGTATCATCTCGTGTTCTAGACTTCATAGAGGTGCTGTGATGAAGGACTTGAGCAGGCTTGAGAGAAAGCCTGCCAGCTGCCAGGTGTTCACTGGGCCAGTTCAACATGACTTCTTACGGAGAAGTCAGGTACATATAAAAAGAATAGCCTTGAAACGTTCATTGCAGAAACTCATCCGAACAAAAGAAATAATGTTGTTGTCCCTTAAACAAGTGCCTGAAAGTCTCTGCTAGCGCTTCTGCAGCAGGGATTTTGGCACAGCTTGTTGTGAATTGACACTTGTTGTCCAGTTGTCTAATAAGTACTGGAGAACAAACTCAGTATTGGAAGGCACTGAGCCAGACCTGGTAGCATCCGTCCTCTCACATCCAAGCAGAAAGCATCAAGTCAGCAAAAATTCCATATTGTGAACAAGTTCACTTGTCAAGGTCCACTCTGTGCTAGCAGAGCGCAGATTGGATGTGAATGATTGTGAAATTGCATTTAAAGCAAGAGTTATCAACATTTCCTCCATACCACCTTATTTACACATTGCCTCTGCTGCTAAAGCCACGCTGACAGAAACTCCCTTATTTAAAAGCTGTAACCAGATGTAACTACCAGTAGTAGTAGTAAAACAAAACAAACTTACCTGGGTTATTATTCGATAAAGTGTGTGAGCGACTGCTGCAATGATCAAATTGTAATCAAGGTGTTTTCCTTTTGCTGTAGCTGAATTGATGCAAAAGTCTCCTCCGTCTCTCATCTCTCTGGCTGGAGGGGCCCCAAACCCTGCCGTTTTTCCATTTAAGAAGGCTACTATTGCCACTGGACATGGAAACGCTGTTGAGATTGGGGAAGACTTAATGAAGAGGGCTCTTCAATACTCTGCCTCAGCAGGGTATCTGCAAAGGCTGCTTGCACTAAAAGATGGTGGAATGAAAGAATCCTGAAGTTCTCTATCGTGCCTTTATTGATCTTTACTGAAACAGCTTTAACTGCTTCAAATTTTCCTCAGTGTTTCTATTTCGGTTTAAGCAGGAGGTTCTGAGTACATGAGCATTTTTATTTTAAACAAGCCAGAAATTTCCCAGCTGTTAGTATCTGATGTACTCCCAAGTCAGTAGAAGGACTCATCCTGTGTTTTGTATTAAGCTGTTCAATGAATGATGTAGCATTGACTTGCAGTTTCCAGATTCTGGAGCATTCATTTTGCCTTTATTTGGTACCCTAAAGAAGTCGACACATAGCACTTGTGGTGCTTGAACTCAGATCTTTATAGTATTGGCATTTTTAGTACAGCACCAAGTCAGGCTTGTGACAGGCTTGCAAAAATATGCACTTACCTACATAGGGCATTAATTGGTGGAGTTGCAGCTTTTGCTAATACTTAGGAGAGCACAACTTTAGTAAACATGCATTTGTAGATGTATTATAAGACTTTATCTTAAAAACAGTTTTTTATAAAAACTCATTTGCTAGTTTCTTGCTAGCTGTACCTTACTTCCAGAAGCACTGCAAACTTGGTCAGACAGCCACTTCTGAGTATGGAAAGACTGTTCCTAGGAGCAGACCCTGTTTAACCTCCACCCACGTTCCATCCTCAGTGAACCATTTCTGTCCAGATTTCTCAGTCATCATTTGATGTGTGTGGACTGTAGATGCTCATCTCTGCTGCTCTTCCAGAGGAAAGATTGATATCTTTACCATTATTTGATTTAAAAAAAAAAAAAGTCGAATTGGCATCTGAGTATAGTTGTGAGACAGTTAAAGCCAGGCTCAGGGCTGTGTGCTAGATGTGACGGTGATTTAGAGGAGCAGCCTCTTCTTGGCCTCTGTAAGATGTTAGATGCACCTTGCCTCATTCCTCTTTCAGGATTCCAGAACTGTTGTCGTGGCTGAAGAATTTTCAGAGGAATCTACACAATCCCCCCACAGCCAACTACAGTCCTGAGGGAGGACAAATGGAAGTGTGTGTCACAACTGGCAGCCAGGAAGGCTTATGCAAAGTAGGACCAAGAACTCAGTATATTAAAAGTACTTCTTTCAAGATGGTATTTTCTTCCCTCAGTTCAGCAATACTTAGCATTAAGCACCACTGCAAAGCTTTGTGTAGAGTATTTGTTAAACAAATATGTTGGGCAGTCTTATGTCAAACATATGTGAATATTCAGATATACCAAAAAGCCTGTCAGAAAATATACTAAGATAACATTTCTTGTTACTCAAGAAATCAGTGCATGGGTGCCTTACTTGCTTTTTTGTAACATGACAAACTGTATCAGTCTTCCTTGAATAATCAACCTGTTCAGTCTGCTCTGCTGCTTAGTTGATACTTTCTGCAAATGAAATGCTTTCTGTTGTATGGAGAGCTGTTCCCATTTCAAAACTGTTATTCCCCAGCTCTGTTTCATTTCTAAAGCTGGTTGTTCATCTGTTTTCCTCACAAACAGCAGTTACTTAAATTTTTGGGTATTACTGATGTGTAACCAAGACTTACAATCTCACTAAAGAACTAGGAAGCATGTGTAAAATATGTCTAAAATAGTTTTCTTTCACAGGTGTTTGAAATGCTCATTAATCCTGGGGACAGCATCCTTTTGGATGCCCCCACATATTCTGGGACACTAGCAGCTGTAAGTATTTCGTCAATAAAAAGCTGTGAGCATCAGATTTGAACAGCACTTGAATACCTGATCTACTTGCTTGTATGCCCTGTATTTACAGCAACAATGCATCTAAGAGTCAAGTTTTTACTGTTAATCCAATGAAGTTCTTAAAGATTAATTCTTAAAAGCTATTCCCAGGACACAACGTCCTTTTCTAAATCCCGTAGTTTGTTCTAGGACTGAGGTCATGTTTGGGATTTGGAAGAAAGTCATCACAGCAATCAGTTCAGAACAGATTTTAAGTGGGTACTTCAACAGATCATTGTTACTGAAGTATTTTACAGTCTGATTGTACTGTACCCAGAGTTTTCAGATGTGAACTAGTAAGTACTGTACAAAAATAGCCAAGTTTCCTTCTGAGAAATTAATGGCTATATAATTAAACATCAAATAAAAATACGTAAGAGCTGTAAGAAGAGTTAGGATAGATGATGCACCACTTCATTCCAGTTTCCTCTCGCACTGACAGGAATTCTGATATCGTTTGGCTAATCAAAGATTTCTTGTTAAGAACATACTTTCAAAATTATTGCAGCAACTTAGATTTTCACTTAAAAATGCTGAGCTACGTGGTACAGATTGAAATCCCACGGAGGGGAGACAGCATGCTGTTTTGTTAGTATTTTCCTGCAACTCTTTGCATTGCTGTCAGCGTGTCATTGCAGTAGCATCATTCTGTTCTCCCAGGTATTGCTAAATATTCTTTCCCCTTTGTCAGTAATGAGTAGCTTGCAGTTCTGGCACTAGTAGAATGCAAATGATCCACTGGAAGTAGAGTTGCAGTAAACTTACTGTTTGTGTTGAGAGCATGAAGAGAACAATTCAAACTCTCCACATGCCTTTCTGCTTGCAAAAATGTGTCATTTCCTATAGAAGAACAGCAATTAGACATTAGTTACCTTTTTCTCCTCGTGTGGCTTAACGGGGCAGATGAAGAGGAATGTGGTAAGTTTGACAAGCTACTGAGCAAACCTAGACAAGCTTTGATTTGAATTGCGAGGAAGTAAGAATTTGGGATAGGTATAAAGTCAGAAGGGATCATGACAGTTTTGTTCATCCTATCAACAGCTGAGACCTTTGGGCTGTAACATCATTAATGTTCCTAGCGACCAACATGGCATTATTCCAAAAGCTCTAAAAGAAATTCTGTCCGCTTGGAATCCAGGAGATATAAAAAATCATAGCTGCCCTCTCCCCAAGTTCCTGTACACGATTCCAAATGGCTGCAACCCAACTGGAAACTCTCTGACCGCGGATCGCAAGAAGGAGATCTATCAGGTATGTAGGAGGGGCCTCATGAATGTTGTGGGTAGAAATGGATAAACGTCCATCCTGTTGTAGCTAAGGGTGCTCCGCATGCAACGTTTGTGCCCATTATTGGTCCAGAACACATTCTACCCAGAGCTTGTTTCTAAACAAAGCCTCTTTCATGAGGAGTCTTCAGAAGCAAGAGGTAAATTATGTTTTGCAGTAGTAGTACGTTGCTGCCTGGTGTCTTTGTCAGGAGCTTCAAAGTGGGTTTGCCACAAGTGTACTGTACCCTTTGAACACACCTTTAGTTATGCACCTGTCCTTGCACTTCAGGGAGCGTGTTCACTGTTTAGACTGATGTCTGAATTGGGCGTTTGAAACCCCCTCCTGATACAGCTTCGTATACAGTGAAGGAGCAACCTGTGGGATCCTAATATGGTCCTGGTAATAGGTCCAGACTATGCTAAGAACTGCATTTACAGTCTTTATGTTTTAATCAGTCTTTGCATTGAATTCATTTCTTTCTTCAGCTTGCAAGAAAATATGATTTCCTTATTATAGAAGATGATCCTTACTACTTTCTTCAGTTTGAAAAGGTAATCTTGCATGCTACGTAGCACCTTCATTTCTGATACCAAAGAACTAAAGTTTGAGCCATAAGTCTTCTTGAATAGTCTTCATGTCCTTCTTCTAAGTTAGTTATATGCTTAACAGTCTATTGCTACTTTTACTTGCCCCCTTTGTGGTATTTTATTGCATCAGCCTTTTAATTGTGGTGGTTCAAATTCCTCAAGCCTTACACAGGACTGAATTTCCCTCGTTACTAAGATAATTGCAAAGATCTTGCCTGCAGAGCAGAACAAACATACCACCAAAGCAGTGCCTCAAAATAGCAGCCTCTTGATGTTCCTTTCAAACCAGTTCACTTCTCCATCCAGGAAAAGATGGTCTACTCCTAATCTATTACCTCTCATTTCTACCCCTTTGCCTTTTGGCATCCAGTTATCCCAAAAGCCATAGGAAGTAATACTGGATAGGCAGCTTCCCTCCTTCCCTACAGATCTTCCTCCTGTGGGTAACAAAGTGTTTAACTGTCTTTCCTAATGGATCTGCACCAGCACAGTCTGCTCAAGCACTCAACTTCAGGAATAAAAAGCTGATCTTGTAAGGAAGCAAAACATTGGTAGGAGCTGAACAGCAGTATTCAGTATTGTATTTTGAAATACATTTTTGTGGGAGGAGGCAATAACAGTGCCTCACAGACACTGAATAGCATTGTTAGCTTTGCTAGAGAATGAGGGGAGGATGTATAAAGGTAGTAAAATATTTGATAAAGAAAAAAGCATGCTGAACTCAGATCAAAATAGGGACATATCTTCTAACTTCCCTTTGTTTGGTTGTTTTTTCTTTGTTTGGTTGTTTTTAAGTAAATGTAAAAGCTACTGTTCCATCTTTAAAATTACAATACCCTTCTGTATACTCCTTAAAAATCTTGACAGAGAATTTATTTCCTCTGCTTATGGCGTCATACCAAATCTTGAACTGATCACCTGTGTGCTCATCAGTGAGCTAAAAGAAAGAAGGCTGATTTCTTGAAGGCTTTCACAGAATATTACATCTCAGACAGCTAGTCTAAATAAACATTTGTCAGCAAGTTACTGCCCCTGTCCTTTGAACATCCATTGCTAAAATATTTACTATCAAAACATGTACTCTAAGAAATAATTATGTCTCCATAGCAAAGTAATTCCACCACAATCCCTACTAGAAACTTGAATTTTCTTTTTTCTTTTTCTTTGAAGCCGTGGGCTCCAAGTTTCCTCTCAATGGACGTGGATGGCAGAGTCATCAGGACTGACTCATTCTCTAAAGTTCTCTCATCTGGGTAAGGCCCACTTCAGACTCCTCAGTATTACATCTTGTTTAAGGCACAAGACTAATATTGTGTGCAAAAGGATCAGATGACAGTTTTTTCATCTAATACCTGGTCATTTCTGGAAAGTAATTTTCTTCAGTGTACTAACTTTTCCTGTCATCTCTTGAAAGTCATTTATAATTCCAAATTCTGATTCTCTTCTGATTCTGATAGTTATGCCATCCTGCCCAGGCAGGGCCAGTCTTCCAGGCATCACATAGGCTGAGACTGGCTGATGCTGGCCTAAAGCTTTCTGCCTGGAACTCCTAGTAGTCTTTTGCCAGTTTCCTGCCTATTACCATTTCTGCAGACTCTTCCAATGTGTAAAAGAAATGATGACATAATTCTCTACAATCAATCAGAGTTGTAGTGATATGTTACCTTCTAGCTTTATGGTTCTTTCAGGTTGTGTCTTCCTGAAAAATTAAGCTGGATACTCTCACACAAAACAATATATTTGTGTTTTCATTTGCTTTTATTATTCTAATAGATGTAAGAAAGTAATGTGAATTTTGCACTGGCAGCTAGTGGATTGTGACCCCATCCCCAAGAAAGAGAAGAGACAGCACGATGCCAAGTGTGATGACACTTCCAGAAGTGACACTACAAAAAGGCACGATGCACTTTTGTCTTTGCCAAGGACACATTTCAGCTTACTGATTGGCTTTAATGGCTGTTTGAAGAAAAACAGTCTGAGTAAAGACAGGTCATAGCAGTGAAACATGAACAAGAACCTATGTTATCAGCCTGAATTCCATTAATCCTGCAGTGCTAAAAGAGCAAAAGCAGCAGCCTGTTTGCCAGCTTGCATATTTTTCCATGAAGCTGAGCGTTCATGACTTTCAATTCTGTGAATAATCCATCTTTCCTTTCCTTTGATTGATCTTAGCTTATAAGTTGTGTAAACCTGGGGTTATAGCACTATTAAAGATATAAATACCTTTAAGAGCCTTAGCACATTAGTGAAATGATTATGGGTTTTCTGGTTACAAGTTAAACCATAACTCTCATAAAGGATTTGCACACTGCATTTCCTGTTCTAATCTTTCCTTTTTCTTCTAGGTTGAGAGTTGGTTTTCTGACAGGTCCCAAGCCTCTTATCGACAGAGTTATTCTACACATTCAGGTTTCTACAATGCACACCAGCACTTTCACACAGGCAAGTACCAAACTAACAACTGAATTGTATTGAAAAACCGGATTCCAAGATGGAGGAAACTAAGAACAAGCATACTTGCACTACACTTTTTCAGTTTTAGTTACAAGAACAGGTATTGATTCACCAAAAGGAAGAGATCACCAAAGAAATTGCAGCCAGAACTAGAGAGCTTAGTGCATGGAAAGCACTAGTGCTTCAGCTAATATAATGTAATACAATACAATACAATACATCAGATTTCAAGAATCAAGATTTAAGATGTTTTATCTCTTGCCAATGGGATCACTTGAAAAACCTCAATATAAAGCATACAGTGGAATTTCTTCTCCTCCTCCTCCTCCTTATTTTTCTTCATGCTTAGTATCTAAAATAATACTGGCAGCTCACAGACATCACAAAGGTGCCATCAGCAGCTCCTTTATAACTAGTAATAAGGAAAGGAGACATCAAGCATGTCTTCACACAACTTCCATTAGTTCATCAGAGGGGCAGTATTAAAGAGAGACTGGAAGGAATTTCCATTAAACAGTATACATTGCCTTCCTTTTTTGCCCAGATTCCCATATTCAGCTCTCCATCCATTCCTTCCTCCAATTCCAACTTCCAAATGTTGCCACTGTCCTTGAAGGTAGCAGTGACAGGGACTGCGATAGTCTGCTGCTACTGCCACTTCTGTTTATAAAGGGCTTTGAGAGACCCTACGTGCAATTTCTTGCCCAGGTGGAATTCTGAATAACACGCAGAGCAATATGTTTTTTGAGTGTGGAGCAGCTCTATATTGATAGTGCATTTTATTTCTTTAGATGATAATTTCACAGCTTCTTCAGCAGTGGGGAGAAAAGGGTTTCTTGGAGCACACAGACAGGTAAGGTCATGTCATATTTTGAATCCCTCATCTGTCATGCTGCTTCTTGCTACCTACACAAAAAAGGTATCTGTGTGAGTATTCATGTTGCATTTCAAATGCCATAATCAGATTTGAACCCTAAGCTTCCTACAGTAATGGGTAACATGTTATGGTTTGTAAAGGCTTGTCACAGGATTGTAAGAGAAGCGTAAGAAAGGTTCTTATATCTGACCACAGCAGCCACTCCTCCCTGAGCGCCAGGCTGTTAGCCATTCCATAAACACCGGAGAAGAGATACTAGCTCTGGCTTTGAATCGTGTTAGGTATCACAGAATAGGTGTAAGAAGTAGGTTGTAAAGACAGATTTGTAGAAAAACTCTGACTACACTTTATCTCAGCTTTCAGCAATTAGAAAATGTGTCTCTTAAACATTTCTCTTCTCTTACTTTCTTCCTGACAGGGAGGCAGCCTTTCCTATGCCAAATACATTCTTCGTCTTTACCTAATGAAAATAATGCTGCAGTAGGCTACCCACAACCCTTGATAACCTCCTAGAGGCTGCTGTTAGGTGACTTATTTTTGATGAGGTCTTACAGCTGATTACTACTTCCACATGATTTCACTGGGATCAGGCTGACTTGTTGGATTGTGCTTTTGAGTCAGAGTAAGCCTACTGTTTATAGTGATTACATTTCTGTGGAAGTTTTGCCTCATACTTAAAACTCAATTCCAATGTGCAAGTGAAATAACAGCACAGAAAAGCAAAGAAAAAAAAGTTAGCACAGAATTTATGATGCAGTTAAAACTGCAGAAGTAAAATTTACCTTTTATTTTGTAGAGTATAACTGGCATAGGCAGAGTCTTTGAAATTCTTAAGCTTTTCTAGCTAGTATTTGTTAGGTTTCAGGAAATACGTTTGGAAATCAAAGCTCTGTCTTCCAAGAGTATCAAAGAAAAGTGAAACTACTAAGTATGGTTCATATGTAGAGAAGGGAGCCCTTTTGCACCTGATGTATGCATTCTGCACCATACATTTCTGTCAGGTCTATCTGATGTTGCAGAATCACAGCTGCTTCATTTTATACCAGTGAGAGGAGTCGTTGTGCAAGGCTTGTCTCCCTTAGACCTTGCGGTAGGGTCATTTTCCCTAGTAAGTTACTGTATTATTTTGAAGTTTTAGTTCAAGTATGAAGGCAGGAGGCTCAGAGGATTAAAACAAGGGGAGCTGTCAGATTGTCCTGACTTATTATCATATGATCTGTTTTTATCTCATGAAATATTGTTTCAATGTGTACCTATTACAGAAACTTAACCCAAATGCATAAATATCACATATGTACTTTTGCAGGCATACAAATACTTAATTTACTTCTGTATGCATGTTTTGTGTGATGACTAGTGCAAACAGGGCTTGTATCCACCGACATAATGGAATGGATATCATTTATAGAGTGTTTAATACTGAGTTTTCTCGGACATGTAAGGATTAAGAAGCAGCTACAAACGCACTTCCTCTATCTCATTGATCTGTGCTTTGTTGTAGACACCATGAAGCATTCAGGACTTTTCTAATGCATATACAAAGTTTCATATACACAGTATATTGTGCTGTGCTGATCTAGGATGTGTTCATATTTCTGTTAAGTGTGCATTTTGGTTGATAAGTAGAAAAGCTTTGTTTCTGCTTTTGGAAATAAATGGACTCTGAAGCGCTGTGAGATCATGGCTTTCAACTGGTAATGTACTTTCAGAGTTGTGGAGTTCTACAGGACCCAGCGGGATGCAATGCTCATTGCTGCTGACAAATGGTTGAAAGGTCAGTCAGTGCAACACAGCTAATAACTGAGACTTTGTTTCTAGCTATTATCATCTTTGTGTTCAAGAAAAATTGCTGAAGGTCACCCCTTGACCAAAGTGGTAGGTGATCACTATGAGCAAATCAGTGACGTGAAATATTAAGCTTAGGGTGGATTATCTCAGACTGCAGTTGTCCTGCTTTTCTGGTGGGGGGCAAGTTAGTGATGATGAGAAAAAATCTCACCACATTATCACATATACAGCAGCTGTACAGACAGAATGTATTTCACTCCACGACATTCTTTTTCTGTTTAAAATCTGTCTTTAAAATCTCCATCTGAAAGTGTCAGATTGAGTTGCATAAATGTGAAGGAAGATATAAATATGGTAGTAGTGATGGTCATTTTCAGTTCAGACATCCACTTCTATGATTAATCACAGAGCACAGAACGAAGCTGCTCAGCAACAATGGGATTACAGTTAGTGACTATAATTACTCCTTTTAGTCAGTCTGCAGTGGAATCAACAGTAATTATTTAAGAACTGCCCACCTTCCTGTTCCTTCAGCCTGCCTTCATAAGATAGGTGTTCCAGCCCATGCATCATCTTCGTGGCCCTCCTCTGCATGCTCTCGGGGACCTGCACGCAGTGCTGCAGATGGGGCCTCACAAGGGCAGAGCAGAGGATGACAATCACCTCCCACTCCCTGCTGGCCACCCCTCTTCTGATGGCAGCCATGATATCGTTGGCCTTTCAGGCTGCAAGCATACACTGCTAGCTCATGTTAAATTTTTCATCAGCCAGGACCCCTAAGGCCTTCTCAGCAGGGCTGCTCTCAAGGAGTTCTTTTGCCAATTTGCATACATATCTGGGGTTTATCTTGACTCAAATGCAAAACCCTGCACTCCGCTTTGCTGAACCTCATAAGGTTCACAAAAGCCAACCTTTTGAGTTTATCAAGGTCCCTCTGGATGGCATCCCTTCTTTGTGCTGTAATCAACCACACCACTCAGTTTGGTGTCACCAGCAAACTTGCTGAGGGTGCATCAATCCCATCATCTTTGTCACTGGTTAAGATGTTCTAGAGTACCAGTCCCAAGACGGAGCCCTGAGGGACGTTGCTTGTTACCAGAAGTTCATTCAAGCTCATGCAAGCAATAAATTTACATCACTTACTCTATGATGTGCCAAATTACAGGAAGAACAGAAGTTTCTTTCTTGATTCCCTTTTCTTTTTCTCTAGGCTTGGCAGAATGGCATTCTCCTGCTGCTGGCATGTTCTTATGGATCAAAATTAAGGGAGTTTCTGATACACAGCAGCTGATCATGGAAAAAGCTTTGCAAAAAGAAGTATGACCTATGGCTTAATGGCTTATGATATGAAGTGAGGAAATGATGAAATAAATCTATTGTATTTATCTGCACATAGGCACAGAGCTATGAAAGCAGGGAACCTGTGTCCACAATCACCACTGAGGCTGAGGCATTGTGCTGTAATGCAGTGTGTCATTAGTAAAATATTTTCTTATATGTATTCAAATGTTGATATTTAATCAGCTTAAAATTATATCACATGTATATGTTATTATATATATTATATACAGCATATTCATTATATATCTATTCACTATATCTAATAGTATATATCTAATGGTACTTCTGAACACTGACAGTAAGCCAAACCTGGTTAGGAACCAGCTTGAGAGCCCTTCGGTTTTGTTACAAAAAGTCTGATACCAGTTTGCCCTCTCAAATTTAATAGAATGTATTGTTTTCAACCTTGCTTGTAACTGAGTGGTTCACTGCTTTTACACAGGTGTTACTGGTTCCTGGGGGAGTGTTCAGCATCGATAGTTCAGAGCCCAGTCCCTATGTCAGAGCTTCTTTCTCTCTGCCTTCTCCAGCCCAGATGGATCTGGTGAGACTGAAATTATTCTTTTTTAAACATTCTTATCAAGAACAGTTTCTCATGTAATTATGTGATATAATGATATTTTTACTTCTCCTTGTGTGGTTTCTTGTTTGTTGGTGTATTTATTTGAGTACGTAGGCATTAAAGCAGTACTTTTGAAGCAGCTTTTTCTCGGGCAAGATACTTATACCAAAATTCCTGCAAAGTGCTGAATTTATAGGACTCAATTTTTTTTCTGTGTATCCCATACACACAGATTCTTACAGAAGAATATTGATTTTCTTTCCTATGATTCACGTGCATGTTGCATTTTGTTTCTCAAGAAGTAATCTGTATTTTACAAACGGTTCAGATGTTATTTGGCTGTCTCTGTAAAATCAATGGGGAGAAAGTCTAGAGATAACTTGTGCAGATTTAGTGATCCTCTGATGCAGGTGCTCGAAAGCTCAGTATCTGTAGTTTTACTTTCATTCAGCTACTCAGGTCTGTAACAGATTTGTGCTTCTGCTGTCCTGTGTCGTCGTCTTTGTGAAAGAAGAAGTAATTCCTAGGCATGCTGTGGACAGTCAAATCGTACCTTGCTGCCACTGTACTTCTGTATGCTTCCCTTCTGAATTTTCTTTCTTTTCTTTCAGCTTTGGTGTCTCTAGGGCTCTATAGTGGGTTAAAAGAGATACTTTTCCAAGGATTGCTAGTTCTACTAAAACAACTGATTAGCTTCATTTCAACTCTGAATAACCATGGAGCATCAATAAGTGTATTTTTCTGTTTCAGAAAAAAAAAAACTGCCTTTCATTTTTTATCACATGAGTGGAAGCTTTGTCTTGTCACAATATGATTTAAAGCCAATGCATGTTGTTAGAGAAAATGAAAACACAATATCAGCAGAATTTTGTAGTATAAAGCAATGAGATCATATGTGAGCGTTAGGGTAGTTTTAGTAGACTGTGTGTTTAAGTAATAATGCAGGTATATGAATTTAAACCATATTTATATCACTGCAGGCTTTCCAGAGACTGGCTGATCTTATAAAAGAAGCTGTACGGAAAAAATGAGTAGAGCTCATACAGCTATCAAAATCATCTCAAGAAAATATATATTAACATTGGGACTTCGTCAGAACACTTTAAAAACAAGCACAGCACCATGGATGTTTCCATTGATTCAGCTAAAAAAAGAAAAGAAAAAAAAAAAGAGTGAAAAACACATTGCTGATTTTTTTTTTTTTCTTTGTCAATACATTGCACTGCTAAATTTATTCTAATCCAAAAATGTTTGATATGCTTAAAAACAAGATGTTCTGCTTCCTGTCAAATCCATCGTATTCACTTGATTTTGGCTTTTGCTTTCTGTTTGGGTTAGGAAGCGGGGAAATCAGTCACTGAGGAAGTTACACCTAAGGTAGTTGTAGGCATTCTTAATCCTAACTGATACATTCTGCCAAGACCTTTTGTTGGAATTGGTTTTTTATTTTGCTTTCCTTCTTGTCCTGCGGTACATTGGTTTTGAGAAGATCAGTGTTAGGTTTTACTAAAGTTTTGTCAGATAAAAATGAGGTTGGGATGTTTTAAATTGGAAACTGGCATAGCAAAATCAAGCCACAATTACAAACGCTGGCTTAAGATTCTTTGCAATTAGCAGTGGTCTTGCAACTAATTTTTCTAGTTTTTATAGGTTTTCTGTTTGCTTGTTTCCACTTTGGTCTGTGAGTAATTACTCTGTGTCTTAGAAAATGGCTGGTAAGCAAAGGCATGTGGATGTGCTCATAGAACTGCTGCCTTGGTTAACTGCAGACATCTTTCTTAATAGAGAAGAGCATAAGTAACTGAACTGAGCCCTGGAATGAACAGTACCTTGACACAGATGTACAAAGCAAGCCAAACACTAAAATAAAGATGTTTTGAGCTTTGATCCCTTGATTATTATCATCCCAAATGTTAGATTCTTGGCACCATGTATAAAACTTTCAGAAAGTTTTAACTCTATAGATTATCCTAGGCTTCTCAGTGCATCACTCTGCAACCCAACCCTCTCCAATCCTCACTGCAGGCAGGCAAGCTGGTGCCATGGGTGAAGCCAGCCGCACCACAGAGTTGGACTGAGCTTGGGCACATCTAGGACCCTTGGGGTGGGTGGGACAGCCCGGGAGGAGGCTGTAGTTATGGTTTTCGTCCTGGTGGATGAATATGTCTGTTGTTTTTCCTCTGGATAAATGGTACTCCAGTATGGTGACCAAGAAATACTGTACTCTACAACACTGCTTATTATTTTCTCCCAAGTAGAAGTCTAATCTCTGGTAACTGTGTTGTTGAGATCTTTTCTAAGCTCCCAACTATTTGCTTATCTCAGTGAGTTTCTCTAATTCGTACATGACATAACCTTGCTTAGACTGTGGCAAAAACTCTTCTAATGTCTACTACTATCATGCCTTAGGACAAATTATTTTATAATTTTCCAGTATGATCCTCTATCCATTATTTTTTTCTTTGCAAAAAAGATCTTTTCCTGCCACTGTACAATTCTTTGTAGTCGCATCTAACTCACCAGTGAATTTAATAGCAGGAAGGTGGGAAAGGTGGACAAAGCACTGACATGGCAGAGCTGCCCACAAAAATCACCACAGCTGGCACTGAAATTTGTGTACAGCTGCAGATGTGCCATGGGGTGGGAGAACAGAGAGGATGTAGGAAAGGAGGAACCCCTTCACTTGCTGCGTATTGTGCTGTCACACAGATGACTGGCAGCCTGAATGCTTTGCTGAGAGGTCAGTGCTACACACTTAAATTAATAGTGTACTTTCATAAAGCAGACAAAGAATTAAAACTTGGCCTGATAGTATGTTTTTGTTTTGTTTTTTTTCTTAGAATTAAGAAGGAAAAAAACTCAACAAAATCAACCAGGTGATCTCATTTTCTGAAAATCTTTCTTTCTAAGGCAGTCATGCAAGAAAACCATACCTCTCCAGCTAGAAAGCAATGCACAGGATGTCCAGAAAAATAAAGCAGGTTCCTATCCCTTAGGAAACTTATCCCTTTTCGAAGTTCCTAAGGAGAGCTGTTGTCTTGCACTTCCTCATAAGGCAAAACAGAGTGTTTTGTAATGTATAACACAGTTTAAACTGCACCATGTCAAAAGACTAGAATTTAAAATGCCATGAATCTCCTTTCTCAGTGTGTATAGGTGGTTAAATACGAGATGCAGGGAGGACTCGACCTCTAAACATCAAGAGATGGTTGCTGGCACTGCTGAATACACAGCTTTCTCCAGTAAGGTCATGTCTGCACTGGAAAATGTTGCTGCTATAAACTTCATTGACTTTCAGTTTCTGATAACAGTAGGTGAAAGCATACCCAACTCTGGCATTGTGCCGCAAGACACTGTTTTATTCTGACAGCCACAGCCCTCCATTTGCTGAGTCACTGAAAACTTGCAGTTATGAGCCTGTCCAAATGAAAGGCACCTTTAATCAACGGCAAGTTTGTAATAAAACTTGGGCTAGATGTAAGTTTCTCCTAGGGGGACCTGCACAGCAGCAAGGGCAGCAAACAGCCTCCTCAGCATCTGAGAATCAATCGCAGAGGTGCAGAAGGGGATCCTACTGCAGAGGAAACAGGATCTCATCAACACTGTGTGCAGTTGTAAATTTGAAATCTCCAGACAGAACGCAGAGAATCTGAGAAGCAGAATAAAGACATCCATGATGTCAGATTTCAGTACACCACATAACTTGCATGCTGAATACTTGCTGCTAGATCTCCTTAAAAAGTGTTCTGAAGTCTTCCTTTTGTTGGGTCGGTGTACGTAATCGAATACACAAAGCCAGAACTCAGTTATGACAGTGCTATTCTCTGTGCTTCAGAAACGTATCAGGTGCAAACTAAAAACCGAAACACTTTCTTTTCCAAAGATAAGTTATTTTCAGGTGTTTACCAAAAGATACACAGAAAGCAAAGTTCCCATGTACACTCAAAGGGTGGCAAAGCATGAGAGTATCACTGAGAACAGAATGCAAACAAGAAACAGACCAGGTGCCAAAAGGGAAACTCATGGCAGAGTTTCTCACAGGAAAAGAGCCAGTGAAATTAACCATAAAATAACTTTAAAAGGCAGAAGGGAGAAAAATATTTATTCTGCAAATGCAGGTGGGAGACATTCAAGACCTATTTGGATGCCTACCTATGTGACCTGCTGTAGGGTACCTGCTTTGGCAGGGGGTTGGACTTGATGATCTCTTAAGGTTCCTTCCAACCCCTGTCATTCTGTGATTCTGTTAGAAAACCCTCCTTCCAACCCAAAACCATTCCTCAGTCTTCACAGCAACTAGATGCTGAGTGGAATAAAAGGGCTCCAGGGGCAGTAAAATTTAATTACACTGGTTCTTGTTCCATTGTCATTGCTCACACTACCTCTCCTCTTTGGGGAATTTAAAAAATAATGTAGAAAACTTTTGGTTTTTTTTTTTAGAGAATAATTTCTGCCTGCAAGATTCTGATTTTCCTATGATATGAGATGATATGTATCAGATTCTTCTGTAAGAATATGTTAAGTATTTGCCTGTGGGTCTTAGTATTCCTTCATGAACATATTTTCTTTCACAAGAAGCAATGCATTTGCATCTGTGCCAGTTAAATCACATAAATAGTCAAACATTGGAAGAATCCTTTGCTTTAAATAGATTTTAGCGTTCAGAGAACAGAATTTGAGCCCCAAAACCTGCTTATACTATCACAAAAGTGAAACTCCTGTTTGCTATTGCATACCTGCAAATTCAAGGGCTGTTTAAACTCATCACTGCCTAAGTTTGGAAAGCACGACTTACGTAGCTCTGCACTGAGAAAACTAGGGAGTGGGTGTAGATCCTATCAGGCTGCCCTGACATTATTCATCGTGAGTGCTTCTTGCAGCCCAGGCAGCACTTGACAGTGAAGGGTTACATGCAGTGAAGGGAATGCTGAATTCCCCGCTCCCTCCCTCGGGGATCCAAGCAGGCAGAGCTGGCCAAGCTTGACGCAGAAAAAGAGTGTCCATAGATTCATCACTGGATTTACCTTTGATCATTCCATGCACAGCCTCTTGGGTTATATTTAGCAATGAAATTCTCAATGTGTGTTATGTGGTTCTTACGGTTTTGGAATTACATCCTTTTATGTGTACAGTATTTATTTTTTTCATGTAATAGTAAGAGTAATACCCAGAGTTATCCTACATGTAAGAGTAAGTAAGCTAATTAAAATTTTAAAAGGCTGCCTCCATTAAAAATTGTTTTCTGTCTTGATGGCAATTACTTTATTGCTTTATAACCTTGCTTTGTTTCAGTAAGTAGATGATCTTCCTCAAAACATGACAAAACGTGCCCAGCGGATTCTAACTAAGCAACAACACAGCCTAACATAAACTACCGTATTATTCTATTTACCACATAGCTTAATTATTTTTATTCTGCAGCTTAGAAAATTGAGACACAAAAACAGTGGTTTGTCCAAAGTTTCTGAGGAAGCCGGTGGTGAAGACCTAGAAACCTTTTGCCTGTCAGATTCTTTGATTCAATCACAAGACCTTCCCCACTCTGTTACTAGTGGTACATTAAAGACCAAAGTCTACTGTAACCAGCAGTTACAGAGCACATTAAAGGATAACAGAATTTGGCATTAAGTTTTAATGTTATTGTAGATCACACTATGAGGAAGATCTATCCCCCAAAGGCTGCATTGCTGCACTACTGAATGTGAGAAGGCTGGACTGTTGCAGATTTCAGATTTTCTGGTGATCAGGCAGTGGTTATTTCAGCTGCGTTCAATAATCAATCCATCAGCTGCCACTGGTCAGCCACTAACTTTGTTGTTTTTTTAAACCTTGCATGAAAGAAACATGAAAGCTTCCTCTGAGATAGCACTTAGGATTGATTTCCAATGAAATTATAGCTGAGCACAACAGGCAGGGTACTAAAGAATGACATCTCTGTGACTGACTCATGTCTTTGCTGTTCTTTGAAATCAAGAGCCCTGATTTGTTTGTGCTTCTGCTTGGGTTTACGTCCAACCTCCTGGGATTCTCCTGGGCCCAGAAAGTTTGCTTGACATGAAGCAGATAGCTGAGAGGTCAGTAAGCGCAGGGCATGTCTGCAGCATCCATGCTGCTGGTGGATTTGCCAGAACCCAGCAAATACAAGTGAGAAAATGATTTTCGAATAAGTGTTCACCTGAAGTTGTAGCTCAGCCTTGTGAAAAATACTGATCAGTGCTAACTCGCATTTGTACATTCATATGGGACAATCCACATCCTTCTAGGAAGCATCTTATTTCTTCATTCTTTCTTCTATGGATTTATGGTCCAAAACCCCAGGTTTCTCTAACATGGTGACTCTGTCCAGTCCCACATCTACCATAGTGACACAGCCTGGCCACTTGTGTAACCAACCTATTAGCAACACTCTATGCAAAATTTGTTTACTCTCATCAGGACACCTAACCTTATGTGAATTTATAGCAAAATTAGCTTATTAGCTACAGTGATGCTTTAGAGATGAGACAGTGTCTCATCTGCAAGCTCTGCACGTGTGCTGTCTCATATTACTCTGGATTCTATGCTTCCATTTGTGTTATAGCATCAGAGAACATTACTGATTGACTTCAAAGCTACTGGAAAGGTTTCATGAGGTAAAAGTGTTGTGATTGGATAACAGTTGGCTTTTTCCTCTTGTTTTCTGCTTACATCATAGCAAATGACTAACAAGACTGAATTGTATGTTAGAGCAGCTGCTAACAGCTGCAAACGTAATCAATTCGCAGCAGTCATGAGCCACAGAACCAAGCAAGGGAAAGAGGTGATGCACCTCTCCTGTCCTGCTGTCTGTCAAAGGCCAGCAAATGGAGGCAGTTTCAGTGAAATATTTTGCCTAATGGGGATATAAA